GTGTCCCTATCCAAGAGAATGAGATTCAATCCCGTACCCGGCAAAGTTCAATCTGATTAACTTCACACCGTTTGAAGGGAAGAGTTCGTCGATTCAACACTTGATTTATTTCAAGTCTCATTTAGGCATGATTTCTGGAAACGAGGCTTTAATGGTTCGGTCATTCGTTGGCACCCTTCGTGGGCCCGCCTTCGATTGGTACCGACGGCTCAAGCCAGGGAGCATCAATTGTTGGGATGATATGGAAAGTTTGTTCCTCAGCAACTTCTTCGATGATGACACCGAAGTGTCAGTCGGAACTCTTTTGGATGAGAAGCAAAAAGACGGAGAGTCAGTCGACGATTTTGTCAAGCGCTTCCGTGACAAAGCAATGAACTGCAGAGATCCTGTTACAGAGGAGTTTATCCTGCAAACATGCCACAACAATCTCTCCATCGATGTCCTGGAAGGTCCTGGAAGTCCTGGGGGTTGAGCCGTCCAAAACTTGGAAAGAGTTGAAATTACGTGGCGAACAAGCTGAACACTTTCTTAAAAGAAAGAAAGTTGAGAGAGTTCAACCGACGACATCCGCAATTCCTGTGAACGCAACTCTCGATCCGAGGTTCCAAAAGGAGTATTCTTTCGAAGATGATGAAGCTCCAGCCATATTGGAATACCTCCTCGCTAATGACAAAATCGAGCTACCACCTATTAAAGATCAGGATGGAGCTAAGAGGATTACGGATCCAAACTACTGTGCGTACCACAGAAGGGTTCTTCATCCCACCGAGATTTGCTTTGGACTCAAAAACAAGATCCAAGCCCTAATTGACTCCGGCGTCATAACGACGAAAGAAGTCGAGTAAAGACGACCAAAATAACTCCATTGGGTACACGAGTATAAACTGTTTTCCCTGACTCCGATGAGTATACGAGTATAAACTGCTTCTCCATCTCACTCCGAAAAGTATACGAGTATTAACTGCTCCTTAATACTCCAACAGGTATATAAGTCTAAACTATTTTCTTTCTTTCACGGGAAGTTCCTGGAGAGTGCCATGCATGGTACTTTTAAGGATAACCCGATCATATAGCTAAACATAATGATAAACTCAGTTTCGCAAGAAAAAGCTGGGGGTGGATGGTTCATGTAACGGAAGTTCCCGAAAGAATGCTATATGTAATTTTCTTAGGAATAACCCGATCATTACAAACAAAGTGTTAAACACTACATCCCGACGGTGATTTCTGAATATTCTTTTGCTGAGATGAGATTCGATCACTTCGCTGGATCAATCTTCCCTCTCAAACCCTCCTTTGGTCAAACCTTTAAACAGTTAGGACCAAAGCCAAATTCCCCTCTCGATTCGTTCCATGAACGAGAGGTCCACAAATTGAACGATCAAACCTTTAAACAGTTAGGATCGTCTCAAACTCCTTTGGTCAAACCTTTAAACAGTTAGGACCAAAGCCAAATTCCCCTCTCGATTCGTGCCATGAACGAGAGGTCCACAAATCGAACGATCAAACCTTTAAACAGTTAGGATCGTCTCAAACTCCTACTTGGTCAAACCTTTAAACAGTTAAGACCAAAGCCAAAATCCCCTCTCGATTCCTTCCATGAACGAGAGGTCCATTCAAATTGATCGATCAAACCTTTAAACAGTGAGGATCGTATCAAACTCCCACTTGGTCAAACCTTACTACATTAGGACTACAACCAAAATCTCTTCTCGATTCGTTTCATGAACGAGAAGTCCATTCTCAAGTTGAATAGTCAAACCTTATGACAGTTAGGATTATTCAAACCAGTCTAGATTCTTTAAGTGGAGATCCCACTTTGAGTTTCCTTTGCACTTAGAAGATAGAATATAAAATTCTCCCTCTCCGATTCTGGGTTCATCTCTACCAACAAAAAAGAGACTGGAGATAGAATATAAAATTCTTCCTCTCCAGGATTGGGTTCATCTCTACCAACAAACAAGAGACCAGGAGATAGAATATAAAATTCTTCCTCTCCGATTCTGGGTTTATCTCTACCAACAAACAAGAGACCAGGAGATAGAATATAAAATTCTTCCTCTCCGATTCTGGGTTCATCTCTACCAACAAACAAGAGACCAGGAGATAGAATATAAAATTCTTCCTCTCCATCATCGGGTTTATCTCTACCAACAAACAAGAGACCAGGAGATAGAATATAAAATTCTTCCTCTCCATCATCGGGTTCATCTCTACCAACAAACAAGAGACCAGGAGATAGAATATAAAATTCTTCCTCTCCATCATCGGGTTCATCTCTACCAACAAACAAGAGACCAGGAGATAGAATATAAAATTCTTCCTCTCCGATTCCGGGTTCATCTCTACCAACAAACAAGAGACCAGGAGATAGAATATAAAATTCTTCCTCTCCATCATCGGGTTCATCTCTACCAACAAACAAGAGACCAGGAGATAGAATATAAAATTCTTCCTCTCCATCATCGGGTTCATCTCTACCAACAAACAAGAGACCAGGAGATAGAATATAAAATTCTTCCTCTCCGATTCCGGGTTCATCTCTACCAACAAACAAGAGACCAGAATACTCCAATAGGTATACGAGTCTAAACTATTTCCCTAATCTCAACAGGAAGTTTCTGGAGAATATCACTCAGAATATTCTTAAGAATAACCTGAATACTCCAAATAGGTATAAGAGTCTAAACTGTTTCCCTATCCTCAACAGGAAGTTTCTGGAGAATATCAGTTAAAATATTCTTGAGAATAACCTGACTACCCCTAAACGGGTATATGCAGTGTCAACTTGACGACAAGAGCTGATTTCACAAGTACAAGATCATTGAGAGCACTTCAGAGCACTTCAGAGCAGTGAGGGCAGAGTTCTTGAGCTTCCGGCAACTCCTTGATATTCAGGCTTTGACTTGATTTTAAGAAGAACGACTATCTTACCTTGATAAGATATCGTTTCAAGTTCTCACTTTGATAAACGAAGTCAAAATCATTAAACCCCTCACGATTCAATCAGAATCTGTGATTCGGCGGTCCACGGGCTAACGCACCCCCGGCACAGGCAAAGATCCCACGCAAGCAGCGATCCAAACAACGATCCTGCGTTTGTTTCTAAAAAGTTGTAATTTTCTGTTTGTTGTGTAAAAGAGGTCTTATAAAAAGACTATTTCTTTTGAATTTATTGTAATCGACCGAAGATATAATGAATTCCATGACAAAATCAACTTTTGACGAAAACAGTGGGTTGCCTCGAAGACCGTGTGCGTTCCCTCAAAAACCGCGGGTTACCTCGAAGACCGTGTGCGCTCCCTCGAAGACCGTGGGTTGCCTCGAAGACCGTGTGCAACGGTTAGAAATAAAATACAAGAGGTTTAAATATAATTAAAAGTAATGAGTGAAATATTAAAATAGAAGAGGGGTTTTTTTGATATTATTGGAGCTCCTAACTAGGAGCTTGTTGGAGCTCTATAAAAGAAGGAGTGCCTCCCAAGGTATAATTTGTTAATTTTTTATTTTGAAAAGCTTGAGAGCTCTTGAGAGCATGCTGACTATGACTCCCAACTGGGAGCTTGCTGCACTTGCTCTAAAGATAAGGATCTTCTTGTTGATTTTCACCATTGGAAATGAGACTAATCATGCTTGGTGGCTACCCCTCCCAACAAGTGTCACTTCCAAATTTTGAGTTCTTGCTAACAGCCACCGGGCCAACAACTTGTCGGTACCTATTATGCTTGATTCGTAAATATTAACCAGCACCTAAAACATCTATAATTACTCTCTAGTAAATGCAACCAGTCTTCGATAACATCGCATGCGGGATGAAATTAGATATGCATATCTTCAACAGACACACGAACATCGTCCATAGTGAAGAATAATGCAGGTAACATCAACAACATGATCGTTGATATCAGGATCAGATTCTTAAAGCACAAAAAAAAGACCATACTTTTTTTTCACATATTGATAAACCTGCAGCAAATTACAACATTTCTTTCGGATTCCTAAAGCACAGAAAGTGGCTATACCTCTATACATATTTGAGCTAAGTGAAAACAGATACACTTCAATTTCAATCAGCTACCCTCTTTTACATCAGAATTATTTATGGAACCTAATGAAACTCAAAGTTAGGTTCTAAACATTAACGAGGCAATCATTAACAAAGATCTGTACAAATTTACCCATCTCAGTTTCTTCCTCGCCGGGCTTCATTTAGCGCTACCGTTGGCATCACTCGAACTCCGGCGATGCCTCCGGTGACTTCTCCCGCCCAAACGCCGATCCAACGTCGTAATCTCCATCTGGGCCTTAACGAGGAACTCCATCCTCTGAACCTCGAGCTCCTTGAAAAACCTCATCCTCTGCTTCTCAATCTCCACCGCCTGCATCGTCTTCCCCCTCTCCACCCTCTCGTAAACCTCCCCAAACCCTAGAACCACCCTCACCAGCAAGCTCCTTAATAATGATATATGTTGAAGATGACTAACCGATTGTAGACACTTGCTTCCCGACGGCATCTTGAAACCTTCCAACTGCATAACCTTCAAGATAAGAAAATAATGTTAGTCAAATTAGAATATCAAACAAGCAAACAATACAAAGAATCAACCTCCTGCTTGTGGGGCTGCTTGAGGTTGTCGCGGCGGAGGTGGAGGTAGCGCTCGCCCCAGGCGTCGATGAGGGCGGAGGTGGCGCCGTCGCTCCAGCTGTCGCTAGGGTTAGAGTTTGGGTTCGGGGAGGGGTTCTGGATGGGGAGGGCTAGGGTCAGGGTCTGGGGAGGGGGATGGGCGCTGGAGGAGGCGGCGACGGTGAAGGCGATGGAGGCGGCGACGGCGGAGGGCTGGGGATCGTCGGAGTTGGTGTCTGGGTTTGAGGTTTCGGCCATGAGTCTAGGGGTTTTTTTTTTTTTTGTTAAAGAGAGAGAGATGAGGGATTTTAGAGAGAGAGGGTGGGATTTGGGGGAATTCGGGATCTGTTGCCGACCGGCGATGCGTTATTTTTTCCTCCCTCCTCGACGGAAGCGTCGACGGGGGATTATATTTCGGGTTTTTTTAATGGTGGGGTGTTTGGGGTTTTTTTTCAGATAGGTCCCTTTGGGTGGGTGGTGCTTCTTTATTTGTCAAATTTATTCTTCATGTTTTTGTTTTTTTTTTCCGACATTTTTACATAACGTATTTTACTTATTTTTTTGACTTAAAGCACAGCGCTGTAGAAGGAAATACTGTAGTGGGATTTACATGTTCAATTTGAAAGGGCTTGCGAACGTATTATTCGTCAAAAAAAAATATGGCAAACGCTTGGGTTAATTGGTTGTAATAGATGTCGTAAGTTCTCATGAAGAATATAAAATATAAAAATCAATGTCGCCTCGTCAATTAAGCAATCTTTCCTAATTCGTTTCAGTTGAAATGGTATAGTTTCTATGTTATCGCTGAATTTGAATAAATAGCTCACACTATTTGGTATACTTCCTTTTCAGAAAAAAAATTGCTATATATATTTCGGAATAAACCTGAACATATATGTTGCATTACTTGTTGCGATAACATTTGCTATATTTACTTTTTAGCACATACCAAATAGTTCTGAAATCTTATAGATCGACTCCGCAATCTACAAAATTAGTAACAAACACAACGTTAAACAATGTTATATTCTGTTTTTCTTCTCAAGATGGAAAACTAAAGGAAAAACTTGTCATTTCTCATTTTGGCTAATCCAATAAATTGGAGGCTCAACATAAAATATGAATGTCAGGGTTCTTCATGTAAATAAAATGAAGCAAAGGGGGTTTCTGGATATTTTTGACGATAAGGGCTGGCGGATTGACGGCGTTCTCCCCATGTTAGATCAGGAGAAACACGTGAAGTAAAAGTCTTCGGCGTACGTGGCAGCATTTGAATGGGTTTGGAAAATGATGTCTTTGTGTTCTCAAACTAGGCCAGCGCCTGGAGGAAAAGTTTTGGGGTCCATCAAATTAAATTAAATGCGCTTCAGAGTCAATTTCAGCTGTTAGATTATTAAATTTTGAAATTCATCAGCAATTTTAATGATTGATATCTTTTTAAGTACATATCTTAATATTATGGGTGATCTCTATTAGATATTTTCTGAGGCGCATTTGATTGTTTTCTCACGTGATAGTTTTCTCACAAGCAGGGGAGAACCAATCCACGAAGTAACAAAAAAATCTTTTAACAAGGGTTTTCAAGTTATTACATGGAAAATTGTTTTTCACGTTTGTTTCACTTGGAATTCAGTAATAAAGGAAAGAAACGTTTGCGTTTTCATAAGTTCGGATACACAAATAAATATGGGGAACTACTTACTGAACATATAGTTTTTCTCTGTTTTCTCTTTGTTTTGTTGGGTTCGATTAATCCAACGAACCCAAGTGGCCCAACCTACTCGATTTTGGATTTGATTTAAAGTTGCCATCGATTCAAGTTAGGATCAGGATGCTAACCACATGGTCTGGTTAGACAGTTTCAAGTTTATCAAGTTGGGTGGTTATCTTGAACATCTAAAGGATAGGATCAATCGGAGTGTAATCCCACGGTTGTGATTAAACCATGATGGGTAGGGTTAATCACAAATATCTATATAAAGGGTGGGAGTCCCTCCTCTCAACCGTACGCAGAAAAGAGACATAATTCCCATCATTGGCTACGGGAGGAGAGAGGAGAAGACTTCCATTATTTTCATCGGTGAACGGTAACTTTAATCTGAATTTCTAGTTCAATTATTCATGTCTAGGGTGAACGGTAACTTTAATCTGAATTTCTAGTTCAATTATTCATGCCTAGATCATCAAATTATCCAACAGTGGTATCAGAGCCAGGTTGTGCATGAATTTTTGATCTAGAATTAAAGTTTTTTTTTCGGATTAATTTTTAAAAAAAAAACTTTTGTTTGCCGTCAAACTGCACCCGATCTTTGCTGCGGACAACTTTGATTTCATCATGGCAGCGGTCAATCTTGATTTTTCATCTTTGCTGCACATGATCCTTAATGGGATAGTTGATTTTTCATCTTTGGCAAGTTAAAATATCACGACTGTAGCCATGGCTATACCCTTGAACTTTTTTTCATCTTTGGCATAGTTGATTTTGTCCGGAACTTTTTTATTATTATTTAATCAACTATACCCTTGATCTAGAACTTAGATCTTGCAGCCATGGCCATGGACTCGGGCGGCGGAGGGTTTTGGGTGAAGGCGGCGGGTCTTGGGTCGTGGGATTAGGGTTAGGTTTTTTTTATTAGGGTTATAATTAATTAATTAGTATAATTAAATATCTTTTATTAATTGTGTTATATAACCCTATAACCCATTAAGTCAGACCCGATCCAGTATGTAATGGACCCGACCCGCTATAGTAATGGATTGGATCCATTAAAATTCTGATCCAACCCATTATGTAATGGGCCAGACCCATTAATTTCTAGACCCGACCCATTACAGTTTTGACCATTTATTTTATTTTGGTCGCTACAGATCCGTTTTAAGTCCGATTTGAGCCCATAAATAGTCGTTGGAAAGATCATTTTGTGTACTTTTCAACTATACAGTTTTTATTTTAATTTTATAAAGTTTTAATACAGGAATTTGGACAATTCATAAAGATTATTGTATGCACATAAAGATAATTGATTTACTCTGATTATATCCTTAATTCAGGTGGGGGTAAATATTTGGGTTCATGATAAAACGGACTACAGTATTAGATCAACCTATGGGGTTAAGGAAGATCAGTAAAACAGTCACTTAGAAATTATGGTAGAGTAGGTTAGTGTCTTGCCCAAAGGTGACCAACCTATAATACCCTAATTTTCTAAGGTTGAGTTTACTCTCATTTGGACTGGAAGGTTGCACTTATCTGTGGGTGGACTACTAGTCTTGCCCAAAGGTGTCTGGGAAATCCTCTACATGATAAGTGGTGCAGGATAGTTGAAACATGTCAGTGAGAGGAGAATAACCCTATTGCCCAAAGGTTAGGAAGTGTTCAAATCAAACTGACACTGTGTAGGCTAGTTCTGTAGGTGATTATATATCACATTTGGGGGGCGAATAGCATGTCAAATCACTTGCCCAAAGGTGTGATGAGATGATGCACCCGCCTGTCCCGCAGAGTGGAAGGTTGCATACGTAAAACACTCTGACCCATCCATTCTAACCCTAAATTGGATGTGGAAATATTAAAGTTAATTAAATTAAAGGTCTCATTTGATTTATATGTCCATGGTTTAATACAGATGGACGGACAGTTTATCCAGAAGCGGAATGAGGAATCCGTTAGAGCGAGACAGTACAGTACAGTTTGTAGGGATTTAGTTCATGTTTGTTGTGAAACAAATTTAGTTGATGTTCCTTCAAATTCTTGGTGGATTGATTCTGGTGCCTCTGTGCACATTTCAACTTCATCACATGGAATAATCCACAGTCGGAAGGCAAGGGCAAATGAGCAGCTATTTTTGGGAAACTCACAGCCTATGAAGGTGGAGCTCGTTGGGACTTTTAGTCTGCGCTTGGATTCTGGAGTTTCCTTAGTTTTATCAGACACTTTCTACGTACCTTCCATGAGAAGGAATCTTATTTCAGTTTCTAGACTTTCTGGATCTGGTTATAGCTTTGTTTTCGAGAATAATTCTGTCTCTATCAGAAATGGTTTGGATGTCATCGGACATGGTTTCTTGATTGACGGTCTTTATAGATTAAATCTGGATGCATCTTTTCCTTCCCCTCTATGTATGTCTGTGAATTCATCTTCTTCTGGTACAAAGCGTCCTAGGCTTAATAGCAATTCTTCCATACTTTGGCACCGGAGATTAGGACATGTTTCAAGAAAGCGATTGGAATCCTTAGTAAAGTTTGGTGTTCTTGAACAGCTAGATTTCTCTGATTTTGGTACATGTGTTGACTGTATCAAGGGAAAGATGACTAAATTGAGAAAATTTGAAGCCTCCAGGAGTGAAGGTCTCCTTGACCTCATTCATACAGATATTTGTGGACCTTTTCCCACTCCCTCTCATGGTGGTCAGCGATACTTTATCTCTTTCATAGATGATTTTTCGCGCTATGCCTATATTTTTCTTCTTCACCACAAATATGAGGCACTGGATGTTTTCAAGATCTTTCAAGCTGAAGTTGAAAAAACAATTAGAAAGAAAGATTAAATCCGTGCGTTCTGATCGAGGTGGGGAATTCTATGGTAAAAGCGATCAGGACGGCACAAATCATGGTCCTTTCATTGAGTACTTGAGGTCACAAGGCATTGTTCCTCAGTACACTCTCCCAGGTTCTCCGCAGCAAAATGGAATAGCTGAAAGAAGAAATCGTACTTATCAAGATGCTGTTCGCAGCATGATGAGTCATTCAGATTTGCCTGAAAGTTTTTGGGGTGAGGCGTTGAAGACAGCTGTATATATCATCAATCGTCTTCCTTGTAAGGCAGTAGCAGAGACCCCGTTCAAGCTTTGGACTGGCAGGGATCCTAGTCTTGGTCATCTACGTGTTTGGGGATGTCCAGCAGAGGCACGACCTTATAATCCAGACATTAAGAAATTAGAAGCCCGAACAGTATCGTGTCGCTTTGTCGGCTATCCTGCAAGATCTAAGGGCTACAGGTTCTATTGTTCTTCTCGGTCTACCCAGTTCTTTGAGACACAACATGCTGAGTTTCTGGAAGACCCTAATGCTTCTTCAGAACATCGTGGTCTAAGTTTTGAGGAAGTTTTAGAAGATGAGCAGTCGCTTCCGCTATTAGATGTCATCTCTAGATTTCCTACTCTTCCAGATAGCTTTCCACCTCCTCCTCCAGTTCAAGAAACATTTGTACCTGCAGAAGAGCCACAACCTGTTAGAAGATCATCTAGAGTCAGGAGATCTGCCATACCTGATGACTATGAGGTCTATCTTCAAGAAAGTGGATGCATTGATCCAGAATCCGATGATCCCTCATCATACTCACAAGCTAGAGACAGCATTCATGCAGCTGATTGGCTAAAGGCTATGGAAGAAGAGCTTCAGTCAATGGAAAAGAACTCTGTTTGGGAGTTGGTACCTTTGCCGAACAAAGCTAGAGCGATGGAATGCAAATGGGTCTTCAAGACCAAAAGGGATTCTGAAGGAAATATTGAGAGATTCAAGGCCAGGCTAGTGGCCAAGGGTTTCAAGCAGAGAGAAGGGATTGACTACGTCGACACTTTTTCTCCAGTATCTAAGAAAGATTCTCTCAGGATAGTTCTTGCTCTCGTCGCCCATTTTGACCTTGAGCTCC